AGCATTTGAAAGAGTTGTTTGCAGGAGAGAAGGAAAACAAATGAAATGTGGGTAACACTTTATTTGAAGGGGTGTGCATAAGACTGACATGACACTGTCATAAACATGACATAACACCTGTCATTAACATGAAGGAGTCTTTATGAATGTTTATGACTGTTGTCATTAAGTGTCATTCGGTAAATTGACACTTTTAATGCAAAGTTGACATTGTTTAAAATGTCTTTGTTATGACAACTTGACATTAACCAAGAAATCATAACCTGTCAACCTGTCACAAATATGTCATAACAGGTCTAATTATCAAACTTAAAGAAGTTATTTAGCTTTGCGTTAACATTACATTACACTGTCATATGTGGTTGGTTTTGACTTTAGCCGTCATGACACCATTATAACTGTGTCATTAATATTTTACTTGTCCTCAAGTAAAGTGGAACACATTGTACTAGTTATAATGATGTCATTAAGGGTTATTACACTGTCAAATGCTTTAACATATGACATATGACAAATGCTTTAACATATGACAGGGTAATGTAATGTTAAATAACTTCTTTAAGTTTGATAATTAGACCTGTTATGACATATTTGTGACAGGTTATGATTTCTTGGTTAATGTCAAGTTGTCATAACAAAGACATTTCTGTCTTTGTTAATGTCAAGTTGTCATAATCAAGACATTTTTGTCTTGGTTAATGTCAAGTTGTCATAACTAAGACATTTTTTGTCTTTTTTAATGTCAAGTTGTCTTAACAAAGACATTTTTGTCTTTGTTAATGTCAAGTTGTCATAACAAAGACATTTTAAACAATGTCAACTTTGCATTAAAAGTGTCATAATTTACCGAATGACACTTAATGACAGCAGTCATAAACATTCATAAAGACTCCTTCGTGTTCATGACAGGTGTTATGTCATGTTTATGACAGTGTCATGTCAGTCTTATGCACACCCTTTCAAATAAAGTGTTACCGTTATGTGCTTTGCTTCTCTCTAGCAATAGATTTTTTTGTTTAGTTTCATAAGGTTTCATGAGCGAATAGTTTAGACAGATTCTCTCCCTCTCTGCAAAACCATCTTGCACGCAATTATTCTGTCAATAATTCTATCCCTTTTGACTGACTCATTTCTCTTGCTGTGAACGCTCGGTAAATTGTCATGTTGTTCATCAACATCATTTTCTTTTTATATCAATGGAGGGAGTCTTTAGCTCTGTAGGGAATCCAACAACTCATTTGTATCACTGTGAATGGGTCCTTAGCACAGTTGTGTGATTTAATTGTAATGAAAATCTTCTTTGTCAGTCTATATACAGTATGTGCATTTGAGAGAGTATGCTAACAGTAATTGGGTAAAAAACCCGAAATTTTATATAAAGGAAATTATAATTGTATAAAAAATGACAAAATGAGGAAATCCATAGATTTGAGTGCATAAATAGCACAAAGCCAAATACACCAGAATGAGTCATGAAACATCGCCTTACCTGTGTGTGTGTTTGTGGCTTTTATGACACGGACACCAATAGATTTCAACTCTCCCTTTCAATCTCTCTCTCCTACTCAATCTGAGTCACCACGTCAAACCTGTTGAAGTCTTTTTCTGACTCATCTCTCTCTTTCACCTCCTGCCTCAGTGATACTCTGAGTTTTACCTCTGCTCCTCCATCCCATCTTTTCAGGGTCTGAGTCACCAGTCTTTATATTCAACATCTCTTAACTCACTCCATCCTTATCTTCTTCCTCCATCGATCATATATCTTTCTGTTTAGCCTTGTTTCACAATGGAGACATCAATCTAGTGCCCTCTTCACCACTAAAACATCTCTCAGTGGTCATTTTGAACCTTGTAAAGCCTTGGATGTAGCTATAAATGTAGTTAATCAAAAGAGAAAGTTCTGTCGTCATTTACTTACCCTCGTGTCGTTCCAAACCTGTATGCCTTTCTTTTCTCTTTAGTACATAAAAGAGGTTTATTGGGATGTTTTTGGTATTTTGCATACAATAAAAGTCAATGTTAGTCAGGGGCTGCCAATCTTGAAAATGACAAAACGCATTAATTGATAATAATCAATCTCATTCAAGTCAAATTCCATTTGTATCTTTTCATGTGTTTTCAAATATGGTGCGTCATACCAAGTTTGACAACAATGTTGCCAAATATCATTGGATCTTGTATGTCTAGTAACTGATTTAAACACTTCAAATTTCTCCACATGCACGAATGAGATTTGAGGATTATGACATAAGGGCACTTAATTTTTTTTTTTGGGACAGAGCTATTCCATGACTTTAGGAGATGGGGAATATAGTTCACAAGTCATGTGGACCTCTTTTATAATACTTGAATTTTTTTAACACTTTAATTTAATTTAACACTTAGAACATTTACTTCTATTGTATGGAAAAAGCAGCCTAGACATCTTGCCTAACATTTATTTATTTTTATTGTTTTTACTGTAGATATGAAATAATGACAACTGTCCCTTTAAGTTGAATACAGAAGTAGCTTGATCATTAATATGGTCAATATGGATTAATGACAGTACTATACGAGTTTATTTCTTCATTTGATTACTGTTAGATTGTGACACTGGGTAAAGATAACCAAGGCTTCAGAAATAAGGCTAAAACACACCTTTTGGTGCACAGTAAAAAATCACTAAAGTAATGTTTTACAGAGGCCCCATTGCTATATTGAGCCTGTGGTTTATCTGCAAGTTGATGTTTATCTTATTAACAAGCCTAAGTGCAGTCGATATATATAGCATGTGGTTTAATCTGGGGAAGTTGTGCATTGGTCCCTGTGTGTCCATCCCAGGCACTATTGAACATATTAATTCCTGTACATGTGGGTTGAACTAAGCGCAGTTAAGAGTCAATCAAGCATGCAGAACAATTACACCTATAACCAATCCCCCTTAAACATACATACACTCAAACACTTGCTTTAAGGAACCGTCCTTTCTTGAGTGTCCATCATCATTAACCACTGTCTGTGCAAAATCCCTAGATGTTTTAATAGTGATTGTAGGGGTTTATTCTACAACGTTCTGTCTTTTTCCTTCCTTTGAATTGAGGGTGATCATATAGGTCAATAGAAGTATATGTCTATGACCGTTTGATTGCTCTGTTGAGTTCCTGTTGTTTAATGCTTCTGTATAGCATGCCTACAATGTCTGCTACCTGGCAGATATCACTGAAATAGATTAGATGTCCTGAGAAATCACACCTTTCTCTGTGACAGCTCTAAAAAAAATCTGAGCATGGCCCACGCATGTTACCCAAAAAACCCTGGAGGCACCTCCCTGCCTGTCAGTCATTTTGTATGTTTGGGTATATTGACATGTCTCTGGACAGTGGTGTTTCGGAGAGAGACTGTATGGTTGAAAGGAAGTTAGTATTGTGAAATTTGTATACTCTGCTGGGTTTTGAGCCTGGGAGCGTTTGCATTGAAAACAAAGATCACATTTATGCATTCGGCTGGTATTTATTTAATGTAAAGGCTGGATACGAGAACGCAAGCTTGTTTGTTGTCACCTAAACTACAGCTGTGCATTTATATTTGTGCTTTAGGTGTAGGCCTGTAATAAGACATGTGGAATATATACACTACAGTTCAAAAGTTTGGTGTTGGTAAGATTTTAATTTTAAATGTTTTTTTCAAAGAATTCTCTCATGCACACCAATGCTACATTTATTAAACTACAGTAAAAACAGGAATATTGTGAAATATTATTACAAATTTATAATCAAAGCTTCTAGGTTGCATGTCACACGTAGGCTCACTATTGGCCGACGCTGGTCATGTGTGTGATGCGTGACGTACAACCTAGAAGCTTTGCGCAGTTTCACTACGTGAAATCTCAAGGCCGTACAGAGAAGGAAATGAATAGTTGAATAAAGTCGTTATTTTTTTTTATTTTTTTTTGCGCACAAAAAGTATTCTCGTCGCTTGATAAACTTAAGATTGAGCCACTGTAGTCACTTGGACTATTTTAACGATGTCTTTCATAACTTTTGGGCCGACCAGTTTCGATCCCTTAAGAAGCCTATGGAGGAGTGATCCAGCTCTCAGATTTAATCAAAAATATCTTAATTTGTGTTCCGAAGATGAACGAAAGTCTTATGGGGTTGGAACAACATGAGAGTGAGTAATTACTGACAGAATTTTCATTTTTGGGTGAACTAACCCTTTAATGCATTCTTGCTATACAAACCTATTCTGTGTGTGGTCTGAACTATACTGAATGATTTTGACCTTGTTTCTGTCTTGAAAGCATTTCCCTCCTTTGTGATTATTTACATTTATTCATTTAGCTGACGCTTTTATCCAAAGCGACTTACAATTGCTATATATGTCAGAGGTCGCACGCCTCTGGAGCAACTAGGGGTTAAGTGTCTTGCTTAGGGACACATTGGTGTCTCACAGTGGATTCAAACCCGGGTCTCTCACACCAAAGGCATGTGTCTTATCCACTGCGCCATCACCACCATGATTTTGAAGTGATCGGACACAGCTGTGTGTATACACATTTTTAGATAAGAGAAGAGACAAATGGCATACACTTTCTGTTCCCACTGTCTTGTTCAATTGCTGTGTGTGTGTGTGTGTGGACTGCTGAGATAAATCATTAAGCACATTCCTAGAGGAAGATCTGTTTAAAACTGGGTGATGAGCTGCTTTTAGAGTCTAATCTGTTAATGTCACTTTATGAGTTAATTTACTAATGCCACAGATTCACCGTCTCTCTCTTTTTCTTTCTTTCAGTAACACACACACACACAAAAGTAGGTAACAATATACCTTTAGACAGTTTATACTTGAGCCGCATACTGTACACTAAATGCTGTCTATCTGTCTAATCCAGCTTGCTGTATGGAAAGTGTCGAAAGTGCATATGACCATTTACAACCTTCAAATTTCGAAGCTTTTCGAACTTTCAAGTATCAGAATTTCATTTTAAATGACTGTCCTTAACTTTGTGATGTCATCAGTCTGGGAAGGCCGGGAGTGGACTGTCATTGTCAGCATGAGAGTGGGGCGGCAGTTCTCCAACTGCAGTTTCTCATCAATGAGGTACCGAACACCCACACACACATGCAGGCACACATATATTACAGCCCATTTTTATGTGCGCAGCATATGCAGAAAGCACGTAGGAGGGCAGAGTGCATATGTGTGTTTTAATCTGTATTTTAGGATAGACGGCGTGTGTATGTGAATACCGCATGTGTAAATGCATGCTCAGCTCTGCAGAGGAATACGTTTAGGTCAAGAGCTTCTCTTCCTCTCTGCCCTGTGGTGTTAATGCAGTCAGTCATTATTTCCCATCAGACGTGTCAAGTGCTGAACGTTTCTCAGCCTCTCTGTCTCGCTCTTACGCACACACACCACATCAACTCATGAATAACAAGAAGTTAGAGCGTTAACAAAAGAAGAAAAGTCTGAGAGTTGGCACGCTGGCCATTTTGGAATACAACAATTTAGGAACGCTCTCCACTTTTTCATCTCTACCTATTATTGTCTTCTTTCAATTTCCTATCAGCCCATAAAAAAACATCTCTGAAGTCAGTAGAAAGTGGCATTCACAAGCTATTTTACTTTTGTAATGAGACGTTTTTCAGAGTGAAGTAGAACATTCAACAGAAAAACATTTAGGGCTTGATTTTATCCGTCGGGAATTCATTGGTCGGTGAAAAGTGGAGCCAGACCGGAATGTGAGATGGCAGTCAGTTGTGGAGATGATGGAATCTTTGCCCCAGGAATCAGACCATTTATATTTTAGCTTCTTACCTACTGAGAACTGAGATGGTACTGAAGACAGTGAACGTGATTTCACCAAGTGCAACGGTACTGGATCAGCATCTTTGTTCAGTGTTTCCCACAGGATTTTTGTGAAATTGTGGTTGGTGGTCCTCGTCCCTCTAGGGGCGTCCGGGTGCATGCCCCCAGAAGAATTTATTTTTGTACATTTTGAAGCGAAATTCATACATCTGGCGCACTTTGAGAGTTCCAAATTCAGAGCTCCAACCCATATTGTGAATTGAACAATGTCAGTGCAGTGTCTCAGTCTACATTAAACTACATAATACTGTTACTACTACTTATAATAATAACAATATAATATTATTCCCATGGCTGTACAGCCCTATATTGTAAAACAAATGCACTGAAAAATAAATGAAACTTTCATAATTAGTTTTGTCCTTACTTCTATACATGCAAGAGATAAACCTGTGAGTATTTATTGTGACGGAAACTGCAGTTGAACTTTTATTTTTGCGGAAAACAAGTTTACAAACTCGTCTCATTACAAATCTAGTGAAATGCTGTAATGGTCAACTATGCAAATGTGGAAATAATGTGTAACTGCATTCTTAAATACACGCTAAACTCAGCACGTGCACAGATGGAGTCCACCACATTCATTCACTGTGAACTGATCATGTTCTTATCGCGTGAGCGAAGTGCGCACTTCTCTTTGCGCAGCACAAACAGACAGTCTTTTGATAAGGACACAAAGCCTTATCTCGCTTTCAATTTTAGTTTGTTTGACAGCAATGGAGCAAAACATGACATTAAAGACCTTTTATGTTATTATGAGAAGTTTAAATATATTTTCCTGTCACCACAGTCTAGTTAATGAATGGGAAGTACAGAAATATATTTGTGGCTGTCAATGTTGATATTGTGGCGGCCCTCCACAGATAAATGAATGTATGGGAAACACTGTTGATCCTGGAATAGCTTTTCAATTAACTCATCAGATTTGAAGGACAAGTTTACAGTTTATGTCATGTTTAGGCTTACAACCAGGGTTAAGTGCTTCTACATCAGTGTTATTCATCAATCATTTCCCTTTGATTTTAGCGATAGGTTATGGCTTATCATAACTTAAGATAAGCGCTAAGGTTAGGGTTAGGGTTAGGACTCAATTTTTGGACAGGAGTGTTGTTCCAGGATTAACAAAACATGTTGATTCAGGAACATGTCTTGCTTGGCAAAATTATGGTGACCATTTTTATACTTGCTGATTCTTTATAAATTAATGTTAAGCAACATTAAATTATTGTGTGACATTAACTAGTGGCAAGATTTCATAAAGGGTTTATTACTTTACCTAAAGCAGTAGTCTGACTCTGAAATGATACCTAAATAGATATTTTGCTATTGGTTAACAATAACATTACTTTGCCTAGGTGATGTCAGCGAAAAAGGAAAGTTGCTTCAGATTAAGAGAACATAGGCTAAATGCATTTTGATAAAAAATGACAAACATGTTTTTTTTTTGTGTTTTTTTTTGGAATGACATGCTCTGATGAATTGATCACAATAAGATACATACGTTATAACACAATTAAAATCATCTAATTTAGTGAGACATGAGACTGTAAGAATTGATTGGACAATTATTATGCATGCACACTCTTGACATTATATCCTGAGGTGCATTACTCAGATATTACACTTTAGATATTCAGCTTTCATTCATATTGATTTCATTAACAACACTGAGTTATCAATGTAAATAACAATCACAAGGGATGTTACCTCACTAACTAGATGGTTGCATTCATACAATAAATCCCACGTCTTCTCACTTTTAGTAGATTACAGCAGATTTCTCTTTCTAATTAAACTTTCTTATAGTAAACACTCCATCAAAATAACCGTATTAACTTTGAATGTATGTTCCAGGTCTTATTGTGAATATGATCCATCATTGTTTGTCTTATAACATCTTTCCTTTCCAGCTGACATCTCTTAGGCAATTCAGGATATTGCATAATATTAACCAACTGCCAAAATAGCTGTTTATGTTTTGTTTTAGCGAACTCTCATCAGTGTTAGTTTAGTGTTATATACTATTATAGTATTTATTACTATTCCTAAATTATTTTAATATTTTAAGGTTTCATTTTAATTTTAGTTTAAGTTTGAGCCCTTTTGTTATGTTTTTGACAGTTTTATTAGATAAAAAAAAATCACATTTAGCTTTAATTGATTTTATTTAAATACTTTATTTCATTTATAGTTTTTATAATTTAGTACTTCAACTTCAGTTTCTAAGGCAACATCTCTAATTTTCAGTTTTTTTAAGTAAAGGTTTTTCATTGAATACTTATATTTTATTTTATTTCAATTAGCGAAAACCAATTGTAATAATTTTAGCTTCAGTTAACAATAACAGCCCTGGCCCTCATTTGGTCTGGCTTCATTGATATGGAAACCACATATATATATATATATATATATATATATACATAGCTGCCTCATTAATGGCTGTTTCTGTGGGTCGCTATACATAAGCCGTCCGCCATATTGGAACGGTCAAAGCCGGTCTGTGAACATTCAAGAGCAAGTTGACTGACCGTATGCAACCGTAGTTAAGTAGTGTATGAATATTTATATATGAAATAGACTTCAGCAGATGAATTTGCTCAACTTTCACAATACAACAAGATGGGGGCGTTAGCTAACACGACATTAAAACGTTACCATAGTAAAAGTAAAAACATTAAAATAGTAAAAACATATAATATTGAGTTAATATTGCTGTACATATAAAAACACAAACCAACACTCACCTGTGAAAGGTTATCCCATTTCTTCAGGAATTGAAATCTCTGTTTCTCAACCAGAAGCTGCACAATGTTGTGGCCTCATTGATTCTTACTGTGAGTGACAACACGCTAACAGCGTGGAATGTGACATCTACGTATATATCTATGATGCAAACAGTCATTTTTGGTAACACTGACTTACCATCTAATCAAATCCTGAAGAATTCAATGTAGTCACACCCTACTTTGTTTTTCTTGTTGAATGCTTGGAAATCTTCACATAATGGAAGTAAAATGGGAATTCATACTGACTTCAAAACAGCACAACTAAAGTTTCCTCTTGATGTCTGTTTTTCTCTGCCTTTGTCCTTTGGTGCGCTGGCGCAGTCTGTGTTTACCCAAACACCATCTCCATGGAAACACAGTTGTCAGTCACCTGAACTAAACTAGGATTCAGTGCACTGAGAGAAACAGACATGACATGAGAATAAAGATGGATCCAAAACTACACAATCATGAGGAACATAAACTTATAGACTTATATACTTGCTATTGGCATATGATCACCCTCAGATTTGGCAGTGATTTGATAAAACATGTTCAGATTAATACTGCCATTTTCTCATCCATAACCTGAAATGTCACTCATTGTTCCAGGTTACAAGCTGAATTATTTGCTTCCTGAACATTGTGCCTGGCTTTGAATAGAAAATTCGATACAGACTTCAAAATTATATAGGTCTTCCAGATAAACCGGGTCAGAAAGACTTTTGTCATTCTGACAGTGTCAGGCACAGTGGAAAAGAGATTTTCACATTCACACTTTTAGACACTTTCATCACTTCTTGCTCTCTCTCCTCGTTCTATCCTCCATTAACCATGAAAACCATCCTGAGCTCTGTAATACATAGAGCATGGCTTTTTCAGACTATTGCGGTCTCTATCCAAGGAGGACTTTAATATCATGAAATATGCATGAAATGCATGGGAAAACAGCAGAGTTGTACAGACTGAAACATATCAATGTGACAAAATAAATTAAGGTTTATCATTTCCCTGCAACTATATGAGGAAATTCCTATTTCAATTGTGACCTGGAAGAAGCATCCTATGCCACATAATTTTCTACATCATAGAAAGTGAATAAAAGCAATTCAATTGCATGTCTGAGAAGTTTGTTATTAGGTACATAGTATATACAATGCATGATTTTTAGGTCAGATATAGAAAACTGACTTTATTTAACTGAATTTGAATGATCTCCAAGCGGGTTTTCTGACACATGAAGAAGCAAAATGGTTGATAAAACACCAGTCACAAACTTATACAATGGATTATAACTTACAAAGAATGGTGTAAATTTGCCACCTCATTGCTGGGAATGAGTGTTGTCCTTACACTTATGTATCCATAGGGGGCGCTGGTCACAGCCTGTGCGGACGACACGCTGCATCTCTGGAACTTACGACAGCGACGTCCGGCTATCCTACACTCTCTCAAATTCAACAGAGAGCGGTGAGTATAGCTACTAATATAACTCAGTTTTTATATATTTTTTTTTTTTTCAGGAATTAACAGGCCTATTAACCGAGCACACATCATATTTCAAGTCAAAAATGAACTTCCCAAAGATCTTATATTTGACATCGAAAGTGAGAATCCATCTGAATATTTCAACTTGAGAAGTTGCTGACTGCCCAAGGCTGCAGAGCATTGGTCAGAATGAATATGTGATGGAGTAAACCGAGATAGCTCAAGACTGCAGTGTGTGAAGCCAAGCCTCAATATTTTAAACTGTTCTAGCTCATGTCCTCTCTCTTCAGGGCTGTTTTCTGAGCATATAGTGTGGATTTTCTTCTCCAAAAAATGCAATGGACACAGTACAGTATTTATTAAATAAAAATATCACATCCATCATAAAATGTAGCATTAACCTTATACTGTGCAACCCTATATTAGGCACTAGCATACGTTTTGCCGTCTTAAAGACCACATGAAAATCAAAATTAGTTCAAACGTTTTTTTTTTCCCTATATGTATAATATTTATTTATACATAATACTGTATATTATTTTAATTTGTAATATTTTATTTATAATTGTTATATATAATTATTATACATAATATATATATAAAAAATGTAATGTCCCTTATAATTTAATATTTTATAACTCATTTTATACAGTGTATATATATATACAGTGGGGAGAACAAGTATTTGATACACTGCCGATTTTGCAAAGCATGTAGAAGTCTGTAATTTTTAGGTACTCTTCAACTGTGAGTGATGGAATCTAAAACAAAAATCCAGAAAATTACATTGTATGATTTTTAAGCAATTCATTTGCATTTTATTGCATGACATAAGTATTTGATCACCTACCAACCAATAAGAATTCCGGCTCTCACAGACCTGTTAGTTTCTCTTTAAGAAGCCCTCCTGTTCTCCACTCATTACCTGTATTAACTGCACCTGTTTGAACACGTTATCTGTATAAAAGACACCTGTCCACACACTCAATCAAACAGACTCCAACCTCTCCACAATGGCCAAGACCAGAGAGCTGTGTAAGGACATCAGATAAAATTGTAGACCTGCACAAGGCTGGGATGGGCTACAGGACAAAAGGCAAGCAGCTTGGTGAGAAGGCAACAACAGTTGGCGCAATCATTAGAACATGGAAGAAGTTCAAGATGACGGGTCAATCTCCCTTGGTCTGGGGCTCCATGCAAGATCTCACCTCGTGGGGCATCAATGATCATGAGGAAGGTGAGGGATCAGCCCATAACTACACGGCAGGAACTGGTCAATGACCTGAAGAGAGCTGGGACCACAGTCCCAAAGAAAACCATTAGTAACACACTACGCAATCATGGATTAAAATCCTGCAGCACACGCAAGGTCCTCCTGCTCAAGCCCATGTCCAGGCCCATCTGAAGTTTGCCAATGACCATCTGGATGATCCAGAGGAGAATGGGAGAAGGTCATGTGGTCTGATGAGACAAAAATAGAGCTTTTTGGTCTAAACTCCACTCGCCATGTTTGGAGGAAGAAGAAGGATGAGTACAACCCCAAGAACATCATCCCAACCGTGAAGCATGGAGGTGGAAACATCATTCTTTGGGGATGCTTTTCTGCAAAGGGGACAGGACGACTGCACCGTACTGAGGGGAGGATGGATGGGGGCATGTATCGCGAGATCTTGGCCAACACCCTCCTTCCCAGTAAGAGCATTGAAGATGGGTTGTGGCTGGGTCTTCCAGCATGACAACGACCCGAAACACACAGCCAGGACAACTAAGGAGTGGCTCCGTAAGAAGCATCTCAAGGTCCTGGAGTGGCCTAGCCAGTCTCCAGACTTGAACCCAATAGAAAATCTTTGGAGGGAGCTGAAAGTCCGGATTGCCCAGCGACAGCCCCAAACCTGAAGGATCTGGAGAAGGTCTGTATGGAGGAGTGGGCCAAAATACCTGCTGCAGTGTGTGCAAACCTGGTCAAGAACAACAGGAAACGTACGATCTCTGTAATTGCAAACAAAGGTTTCTGTACCAAATATTAAAGGGTCACTCCACCCATTTCAACATTAATCTTTATTGAAAGTGGGTTATATATGTAGTCGAAATGTAAAAGAAATTTTGAATTTGGTGCCCTCTTGACCGAGAAAAGACAGAAAATAACTTTAGGGCGCATTTGTATGTAAGACAACAACTCCCACAATGCACCACGTTGCACAGCTCCGCAAGCCACTCCCACTAATCCAGAACAGCGCAAACATCAGAGAGAAATCACTCTTCCGTCTACAAGAAGGCTAGCTGCTAAATGAGTTTGAAATTTATTTCACAAAAAATGTCTAGTTAGTTGGCTGTGGCGAGCAGGACGAGGGCGAGGGACGTGAGAGGACGACGCGAGTGATAATGAATGGCACCTGTGCAGCGGTCTCATATCTCTCACGGAGGAGCGGAAGCACAAAAGGAACAGGCCTGATTTTATGTTTTGTTTCTGTTGTGTGTGGCCAGCTGGCTTATACTTTTGTTTTGTATTTGTTTATTTTACTATTAAAATGTTTAAATGTTCGCCGGTTCCAGCCTCCTTCTTCCCACAACAACGAACCCCGTTACATTGGCAAACTCATTAGTGAATTACTCGTTTGTATTTCTTTCTATATGGTGAATTATTGCATGATACCTGGATTTTCAGTCAGGCGAAACTAGGATGGTTCACATCACAACACAAACGTCCGTGTGGTCGTCTGATTCAGAGATTTCGTCTAGGAGAAATTGCGATCGTTGAAATTCTCTGCAGCAGACGGACTCTATCTGTGTCCGTAGCGCACAGCGAGAGCACACGCACCAGCAGCCCGCCTCAGCTCGACCCAGTCCGGGCTCCTCGTTCGCGACAGGCAGCCGCCTCCTGATCCTCCATCAGCCTCAGCTGCTCTTCACTATATTGCGGCTCGTAAAGATAGCCACGAAGAGCGGATTCGAGCAGCAGAATTTCAAAATCCTCTACTTCCATATCATGTTTAGTTTCTTCCGTCATTGTCGTAACTTCCTATATCCACAGCGCTTGTTAGCTTAGCTTATAAACAAGATGGCTGATATTGCTTTCAGTATCTGCAAGTGAAGTCCCACCCACTGATCTGTGATAGCTCTGTTAGCGCATTAGGCACAACCCCCTATGGGCGGGTTTGAAAGGGTGGGAATTTGTGCTTGTAGTCTATACAGAAATCCCCCCTTTTTACACTTCCTCCTACAATGACGTCAAATGACGATTTTTGCGTCATTGTAGGAGGAAGTGAAAAAGGTAAATAGTAGATTTCTCTCGTCTCAGGGGAAAATGAAAGAATGTTGCACGACCATTCAATAGTATGACTGGTTGTCTAACAATGGACCTCTTAATGCAAATGGGTGGAGTGACCCTTTAAGGTCTGCTTTTCTGATGTATCAAATACTTATGTCATGCAATAAAATGCAAATGAATTACTTAAAAATCATACAATGTGATTTTCTGGATTTTTGTTTTAGATTCCGTCTCTCACAGTTGAAGAGTACCTATGATAAAAATTACAGACTTCTACATGCTTTCTAAGTGGGAAAACTAGCAAAATCCGCAGTGTATCAAATACTTGTTCTCCCCACTTTGTATATATATATACTATATATATATATATCAAACTGTGCACTATTCACGCATTGTAGACTGACCCACTAGGTATGACTCATATGGCTTTTGTTACTCTATTTTTCCTGTTGAATGAGTCAGGGTGAGCTCTAATAAATGTCGCTCTCATTCAAAGGTATGAAATGTTACGGTTGCATTATGGGCAACCATAATGCACAAGCTTCTTGTAGTTGTAAAGAAGTATAGAAACCTTTCCGGAAGTTATAACAGAAATACTGACGTATTCTGCACAAACAGAAAGACCTTGAGTGAATTGAAGAGAAAGTCATGAACAGCTTTTCTTTATGTTGTATATTTGTTCCCTTCCCACCTAATCACTTGACGTGAGATGACCTTGTCCAAATGTGGCTTATTGCTGTGGAAGAGGAAAGAAAGAATAAAAGAAGAAATATTTTTTGTTATATTTGAACCAGAGAGAAAGATAACTGACTTGCCCTCAACTGAAATGCATTTGATAGCAGACAGACGATGAATACTCATATGATGATTTCGCATTATAGCAGCATGATCATTTCAGTCAGATTTTAACAATTTGTGTGCCACATTTTAGCACTTGTTTTGTGAACATGTCACAATGTAATGAGGCTATATTTGATCTGACAGTAAACTTGCAGCTTGTATGAGAGTGCGGGATAGAGCTGTTAGAATTTCACATACAAATAGGGTGTTTATATTAAAATCACAAAAGACACAGCAGCAAAAAAAGGCCAGTTTAATTGTCAGGGTCAGAGAGAAGGTGGAAACCGGTCATGAGAAAAGAAAATTGACTGTTTTTGACTCGAGTATCCTTGAGGCAAAACAGCTAAATGACAAAATGCTCTGTGACATTTTGTAGCTCACATAAGTCCAGACGATGCCAAATGAAAATTCAATGTGTTGTCTGTCCACATTTCTGTTAAGTTAGCGTCTTCATAACATCCAGTGAATGATGATTTTTTCAGACTACTGTATATTGCTAGCCTGACTTCATCATACTCATATTCTAGTCATAATGTGAGTCTGATACTGCTCCATATGGCTTTGATTATGAGGCGTGTCTTTACCGAACCAGGAAAAAAAAACCCTCTGCACTCAATTGGATAGACCTACAACCAATCAGAGCAACAACGCAGAGCTACGCATAGTTGTCATCAGAACTCAAATGCACGCACGCTGGAAGAAGTAGTAAAATAATGAGTGTTGCTTCTTTTACTTGGTCCTCCATGAGTGCGACCAAAGGAGAAACCACAACGACCACAGGGTGTTCATTGCGTCCCATCTTCTTAGCGACCATCGGAGCCAGCTGATAAATTAAACTTTTGCCGAATCCCGTAGGAAGGACGGCAAACACATC